TTATAAAGTATAGAAAAGAAAATGTGCCCATTTTCATATATACCCATACACACACACACATATATATATATAAAAGTGAACATTGAAGTCAACACTCATAGGTGACAGGCTGTTTCATGCTGGACGCAATTGTTTCCAGCATGAAACAGCCTGTCCTCTTTGAGTGTTGACTTCAATGTTCACTTTTATATTTACATATGCTCTATCTCTGATATTAAGCACTTTAAAACTATATTTCTTATATATATATATATATATATATATATATATATATTTTGATACCACAGAATGCATAGCTAGATTTAAAGAGACACAATTTACTGTTTTTTGGGGGTTTTTTTGTTTGACCCTGAAAGGTACCTAGGCTCAAACAAAAAAAAAAAAGGAACAGAAAATTGTCTCTTTATATATATATATATATATATATATATATATATATACACACACACACACACACACAATGTGCAGCAGAAGTATCACCCTATTTTTTTTTTTTTTCAAACTAAGGTGGATAGGACAATGCTGAGCAAATTGAGTGTCTATCATGATCATCAGATCTAACAGCACTAGACATTTTCCTGTTGGGTGAACTGAAAGAACTTGTTTACAGGCTCAAACCAAAAACAATTGGTGAATTAAGACAATTTTTCTTAGATTATCTGAAATTAATGCAGAAATCTGTCAAATGGTTCATAGAAGTATCGCTGATAGGGTTCAGCCTTGTAGTGAACACGAAAGAGAGCATTTTCAGTATGTTAAATAGTTTGTAAATCAAAACAAATCACATTTTAATGTGAAAATACTTCTAATTCTTTTAAACTACTTTTATTTTTGTTCAATAAAAGTTAAGTAAAAAAGTGTCATTACTTTTGCCACCACCTTTTATATAAATAAATAATATATATATATATATATATGCACATATACTTGCACATACATATATTTCTTTCTCAGGTGCTATAATTACAGTGCTCAATGTTATGAAATGTGCACAGAGCTATTAAGTATATCTTAGTAAATAGCTTGTATCGTTAGTATCACTTAGTTTCATGCAGTTACACATCAGGTATACATATGTTTTTTTTGTTTTTTTTTACCATCATAATAATAGTTGGCCACTCATATTTGAAGATGTCCATCTAATAGGGTGGCTAGACAATCCTTATTGCAGATGCCTGCTCTGTGGATTATACTGCAACTATGCTGAACAGACCTTAGTTACCATTTCTGGGAGAGAGTGTGTTATCTAGCATGATCAACAATTTGAATAAAGCCCACATGCTGAAGTCCTCGGCCATGATGACTTGTGACTTTGTGCTAGCACAACTATCAATGGCCCCTAAGAGTTCCAACTATCCATTTTCACTCAACCCGTGGTATGATTTTCAGGCACTTTCCAAAGGTGCCACATGCTGGGATTGACCCTTCCAGTCCGATAACATCAGTAAGTCTCTCTCCTGACAAATCGACTGAGATTCGAACTGAGGTCTCATGGTCAGAATGCAAACATTCTAACCACTCAGACACAGGTTATTACCATACCTATATATATATATATATATATATATATATATATATATATACACACACACACACACATTTTACATTTTGTAATGTATTTACATGCTTAGTAAATATATTTTTAAGACAGGTGTGTGTTTTTCATTATTTGCTTGTATATGTAAGCTTGGTTCTTGGAAATTGAGCAGTTCTTTTACCTTTGTAAGCCTTTGTATGCTTTTCGATTATTTTATAGTGTGTGTATGTATATATATATATATATATATATATATATATATATATATATACACACATACACATAAAGACAAATGAAATGTTTTTTTTTTTTTTTTGACAAACATGTTTAATCCACTGATGGACTTTATCAAATCAAATAAGATTTTGGTTTGCAACATGTATTTATAATCAGAAGTATAAAAAAAATATTGTTAGGTTTTCGAAATTTTTAAATCTAAGAACAGTATTAAATAATAAAAAAAAAAAAAAAGTAAATAAAAAGATATACTTCTGTTTATAAATACTTATAACAAAATAAAATCCTTACATTTACTTTGATAGTGTCTCCCAGGGGGACACATTGGTAAGGAAAGGATTTTTGTTTGTCTTTATTCATATTGTCTTTTTGTACATATATTTTTTACTTATATCTAAATTTCTGCACATAAACATATAAGATAACGATATATATTTTTATATATCAAGAATATTGGGAAATTTTAAACATTTTCCTCTTTGTCATAAAATTTCCCCAATACATAAACATATATTATTACTGTACATGTTATATTTAGTGTGTACACAAATTTGTGTCAGTCTCTCTGTTTTTATACAGTGATATCAATGTCTACCAGAATGGAGATTGAAAATCTTAATTTTCAAACTTTAGGCTGGTTGACATTAATTTTACAGTTTAAAAAACAAGGATACCTGCTTAAACACAGAATTTAATGTTCCCACTAAATTTATGTTTATAGTAATAAAGAATAATGTTTTTAAAATAATTCCATGAATTGCTTGAAACCTCTATCTCTATATATATATATGTGTGTGTTTGTATTTTTGGTTATTACACTGAAAATGTGTCAAATATAATATGTAATATCCTAAAATAAATAATATTACTCTACTTTGTATTGAGCCCTCTTTTAAATTAAATGTTACGAACGTTGGAATTGTACTCTATTCATTCTCATCTCATATATATATATATATATATATATATATATATATGTTAGGGAAATTGTATGACAAAGTGGAAAAGGTTTACTTGTGATGCATTTCGTTCGATGAAGTCCTGAACGACCAAACACCTCACAACTTTCACAATTTTGTTTTTCACACACACACACACACACATATATATATGATCTGTGTTTACTCCAACATTTTTATTACCGTTTTCTTGAATATGCAGGCCAGTAGATATAATATACGCTTTTTTTTTCTTTTTTTAAGGTGGGGAGGTCTACTACTCGAACATACATATCCACTAAAAATGTGTTTTGAAATAATAAAAATATGTCAACTCTCTATATTTATGAGTGTTTAATATTGAGGATAGACAATTTGTTGATATAAACTGCATAAATATAAAAATATAAATATAGGGATCAACACTGCTTGGTGACTGGCAGTTCCATGCAAGGCCCTCGTACATTTTTCTTCTTTTTTTTTTTAATATTTTATATTATTTTAACTTCTAATCATAACTAATTTAGTTTTTAATCCTGGATTTAATTCTGGGATCACCAGAATGCCAAATTTAGTGCTATGATCTCTGTCTGTGGCTGATAACATCTGGCCTATGATGTTCCCCATCATCAGCATATAAGATGCAGTGTGATTTTGGTAGGAATATTTTTTTTTTTTTTTTTTAAGTGCCTCTGAAAGTACTGTATGTCATTAGTTTATAAATATATTGTACAAGGTAGATTTCTCAGCTAGTAGCTGTCAAAAATTTCCCACAAAAGTTAATGATGCAATGGCAAAGTTTAATACAAAGGAAACTTTGAGTTTCAGATAATTAACTTTTTTTTTTCTTTTTTGTAATATTTTATTAAATGGTACCTTCGCCCAAGTAATTACATTTGCCTGTTTAGAATCCCCACTCCCCACAAAAAAAAATGAACGCCCCCCCCCCTAGTGTATATAAATTAATTTTCTAATGAAATCAATAGAAAGAACTGAGTGCTTCCAACAGCAGCAACAACTAAAATGTATAGAGCATATAACTCAAAAAGAAAATGATATAAGATGCTGATGCTCCACACTAATTCAGGTAGAAGTTTAGGTAGGAAACCCCCGTCAACACTGGAAAGAGCAATAACAGCTACTGGATTTGAGAAACCTATGTTTGTTGAAAATTGTTTTAAGAGAAACATTTCAAAATTTTCAACCAAAAACAGTACCAGCTGTTCAGTCAATGGATGTCAAATGTTTCCTTGTAGAGAAACAGCTAATATTACCATTATGTGTCATGTCTATTCATTCTTCCTGACACTTTTGTTGCTCTGAGTAAAGTTTGTCTTTTCATCATCCCTCCCATAGTAAACTTGGACCTTCATGCTCACAAAAAAAAACATCAAAAGGGTGTTTTTTCTTGGGGGTGGTAGTGATTGGTCAACATTCTTCTGTAGAACTGCATATCTGTCGCCTCCAGTCTTCTCTTCCTGTATGAGGAGATTGTCCATCATTCATTGCCATAGAGGATGACTGATATTACATAGCCATTCAGAAGACTTTTCTTTGTTTATAATGAAATTTTTCTGTTTCTTAATACTTTGCTTAGCTTTTGGAAGGCACCTTCAGAATATCGCCATCACATTTTCTGTTTTTATTTAAACTTTTGTACTTGTTTGAAAATTTACTATTACCATTAGTATCACTTTTTTATGGGGTCTTTATTTTCTTTATTCTTTAAAACGCTATTCTTTCACTTTTCTTGCAGCATTGATCTCAAAATTACTTGTCACACATGTCATTATTTCATCAGTGCTGAAGTAACCTAACCACTGCTTATGCTTGCATCTACAGTTTGGTCTCACTAAATATTCAGCTAGTGTCAATGAATGTCAATATGTGTGATTTTTTTTTTCTGCATAAATTGATCGATTCATTTTTATGGCTTCTTAAACACAATATTCAAAATGCCCTCTTACAATAGAGACACGAATAATACAAATTACTAGAAGAGTGATTGATTTTTTTTTTATGGTTTATCAACCCTTTGCAGGTTATTTAAAGCCAGAAAATATTTTTAGATTGCAAGAATTTTTTTTTCTTTTAGATAATAATGTTTTTAGTGATCCCAGTTTTACTAATTAACCTGTAGCTGGTGGGGAGAAGAAGTGAAATCATACTTTTCCTAAGAGTATTTGTGCAAAAGTAAATATGATGAACATGATGGAAATTGGAACTTGGCTCTCCAGTTAACAATTCCAGGCCATTCCCCATTACCCCACCCACAGAACATGCAAGCTTATAGCACCTGGTATTCCCAAGTGGTCACCCATCTAGGTACTGACCAGGCTCGATGTTGCTTAACTTTAGTGGTTGTACAGGAATCAGTGTTTCAACGTCATGTGGCCATAAGCCTTTTTTTGCATAATGGAAAATGAAATTTGCTTTGGACGCTTTTTTTAAGTCATTGCTATTTTTTTTTTTTCAGACTGCTACTTGGTAGGAAAAAAAAATTATGGGTTATTGGTGAGGAGGTTCAGTTTCCGCTGCCATATTGACCAATGTCTCTGTCGTTGTGGGCCAACCACCTCTGACATTGTGAGACAACATAATAAAACAGAAAGCATTATTTTCTGAGCAACCCTTGTGTGTGCACACACACTACTTTTTATAAATGTGATTTTTATAAACTGATAACAGTTGAAGTACTCTTAATTTTTCTCATCCCTGGAATCAAGATGCTTTCTTTCTGTTCCATTTATGAAATTTATTTGCCATTTTATTGTAGCAATAGAATTAAAATGAATGAATAAGTTTATTCTACTGGTATCCCCACCTTTTATTTCCATGTTGTGAATCTATGTCTGCTCCTATAAATGAAAACATGCAATGTTTCTGTTAAGGCAAGAGTGGAGTTATTTCGATAGCCATTGACATGTGGGGAGAGGGAAACACTTCAAGGAAGGAAATATTCTGATAGTTGACAAATGAGAAATTAATCCAAATCAGAGCAGGTTTTTCCATTGATTTCATAAGTTGGACTTTATTTGAAGCTACAAGGCAAATCTCTTTGTTTTATTGGCTTTTAAAGTGTTTATTTTTTCTCTTGCAAATAGAAAAAAAAACACACTTCAACATGACATTATTGTCTCTCTCTTAGTGTTTCATTTAAAATGGTTTTATATAGCTGAGCATTTATTTTTTTTCTTGATATAGATTAAATTTTTTTTAATGCGATACTGAAAATGTTTGTTTTTCTAGTTTTTCTTTATAATTAGAAGAGGATTGTTTTAAATCTGAAGATTTGTCAAAAAGGTAGTTTGTATTAATTTAGTTACTGAATAGTTAAATTTAGTAAGAAAGCAAAAATTACAACAAAAAAAAAAGAAAATAGAATGTTTTAAATCAGTAAGGCTCTGTTTATTCCTATCCTCTTTGTACAACTCTATGATTTGACTTGATCTTATTTAAATACAAATTAATCTTTTCTACACCTATGCAAAGAAAAAAATATTTAATTTGTGAACTAATTCACAGTAATTACCAAATTGTTTTGATGACTTATTCATGTTCCACAAACAACTCTTTTAAAATATACTGTTAACTGTGTTATGAATTCTAAAATAATAAAAATACATTATGAATTTCTAAAAACTTGAAACAGATTTTTTTTTTCTTTTCACCCCAAGCAAGGCAGTAATGCCACTAGTACGCAGTGTGAATGAAACTGACAGAAAACTGTCTATAGGGGATATTGAGGAAAGAATATAAAAGATGAACAAGATTCAAGACAGAAGATAGCCATTGACATTGCATTTAAATTTTTGAAGATTGTATTTATAAGGGAAGCAAGTAAACGGAAGGGAGTTCCAAAGGCAGGAACTGTGTGAAACTGTTGAAGTAGAAGTGGCGGTTACATTTAACTATTTCAACAATAAGAGGGTGGGACCTAGATGCCAATCTAGTAGCACATTTAAATTCATGTAACTGAAACACTAAGGAAAAAAGCTTGTTAAAGCAGTTGCCATGAAAATATTTGTAGAAAAGATTGAGAGAAGCCATGTCACATTGATGAGAAAGTGACTGAAGACAAAATGCCAAGTTAGGATTGATTACATTAAAGATCCTTCTTTGGATTTTGTTAAGAACCTTGAGATGAATAGCAGGATCACCAGACCAGATATGGCAACGGCATTAAATGTGCAGCCAAATTGTAGATTTGTAAATGTGCAAGTTGGACCTGACAAGAAAAACCTTCTGGCATGACACAGTGACCCAACTTTCCTTGCACTAGATGCAGCTATTGATTCAATGTAATTGTTCCACTTCAAGTCGGTTCAAAACATGAGGCCAAGAAGGCACAGTGTGACACTCTCCTGGAGTCAAGCATCAGCCATGCCTGATGGCAGGCAGGAAATTTTCTCTATGGTGATTAAATGATAAGTTCTTTATAATGTAATATTAATTAAATCAGAATCCATATTTTCTATAAAAATATTAAATAATGAATGGATAAAACAAAAATCATACTGAGGTTTTGTTTTAATGTTCTGAAGTATTTCAATTTAATAATTAAACATTGATTAAACAGGAAATTGAAGACTCTAATCATGAAACAACAAAGATGTTTTTCAATCTGTTGTTATAACAGATTTAATTATTTCCTCTGTAATTTTTTTTGTTTTAAAATTTCATTTTTTAAAAATTTAATTGCATTTTTTTCTGACATCAAAAGGCAATCTGCCTTTTTCATTCATTATTATTTTAGTTTGAAGGCTTATTCCACTCATCCAAGGTGATGAAAAATTGACCTATATGGGGGTGCTGAAATATTCATGGCCCAACCAAGAGCAGATTCAAAAATAAATTTTGATCCAAAAGTGACTTGACCCAAAGAGTTCTCAGTTCAATACCTAGCCACAGTAGAGGGAACAAAAACTTAGAAAGTTGAGTTATCAAAGGGGAATTAACTGGAACTGAGATATCCAAAAGCATGGCATGTGGAATTAGAAAAATCTACCCCTGTGGACTAAATAAAGGGTTTGGTTGGAAATTCCAACAAATATCACCTGAAGAAGGTCAGATCATACAACAGCCGAAACGTTATGAATATGGCAATAAAGATGAAGACAACAGTCGTAACAATGTAAATAGAATACCTCATCTCAGTAATATAGACAAATGATAAATTTTAATGTTTGATCATTTGGTTAGATTTGAGGTAATGGTTCAAGAGTGTTTTAACACTAACATTATTATGTGAATTTCTGGTCTTGTGGTTTGTCAAGTCCATTTATTGGTTGTAGAGTCATTCCCTTAAACCAATTAGTTTGTTTCCTCTTTACCTATTGTTATATTTTGGTTTCTCTATAAAAGACAAAAGTATATTAATTACTAATAGCCTTTAGGTCTTGTTATATATTGACTGACAAAATGTTCTTCTTTTTGAAATATGTTGAAATGCTTAAATATGTCTGACTTTCGGGGTAGTTTTTTTTTTTTTACATTGCAAACTAGATTTTGATGTTTTACCATTTGGTCAGATCTTTGGAAATGGGTTGAGCTGAGAACTTTTCAGCACCACCTCATACTTTTGAGAAAATATAACTGACATATATGGCCCAGTAGATAAAAACATTGGTTGAATCCAATGACTTGACCTAATGAGTTGTGAGTTCAATACCTGGCTACTACTGAGGTAAACAAAAACTTGCAGAGTTGAGTTAAAGAGAGATTGATATTGAGGCATCTGGAAGAGGCATGGCATGTGGAACTAGAACAATCTACCCCAGTGGACAAAATAAAGGGTTCAGTTTGAAATTCCAATCACCTGAAGAAGGCCAGAGTGTACAATGGCTGAAACATCATGGATATAACAACAAAGATGAGGATAACAATGTAAATAGTGTAAATAATTACAATACCTCATTTCAGAAATATAGACTGATCCTGAAGAAGACTGGAGTGTACAATGGCTGAAATGTTGTGAATATGGCAACAAAGATGAGGACAACAATGTAAGTAGTGTAAATATTTACAATACCTCATCTCAGAAATATAGACAAATATAGTTTTTATATGTAAGTTTATCTGAAATTCTTCAGTGAAATTTTGCCTTGCTGACTAAAAAAAATCATCATCCCCCCGCAAAGAAGGCTAGAAAATTTAACAGTTTGAAATAAGAAATATTTTACCAAAATAGATAAAGAAAAGAATTTTAAAAATAATACTCTATAGTAAGTTTGATCCTCACTTGATGCTCAAGACTTGTGACCTTGTGCCAAGCTAAGCTTTGTGTATAACAGCTATGTTCAAAGACAGGAATAAGCAATAATAAATGAGGTTATAGAAAAAAAAAAAAAAATTTATTGATTAAGTGAAGCCTAAAGCTGAAAGAATTGGTAAAACATCTGCTGCTATCATTTGAGCTGGTTACCTAATGAGTGAATCATTGAACTGTAATTATATTTTGACTTACCGACATTCCAAATCACAGGTAAGGTTAGAACATTCAGCAAAAAAATAAAAATAAAATAACTTAAAGAGATGAACTTTATCAAAGAAATATGAATACTATTTTTTTTTTTTTACAACTTATACTAATGTTCACCCAATACAAGGCCCAAGTGCCACTCAAGGTAGAGGAATACTGTGTGGTGTTTGTATGAACATAAGAAAAGGCAAGAAGCAAAATTCGTGAGGTTATGCAGGAATGATAACGGTTAATGCTAGACTTGAAGAGGTCAAGATTGTAGTAATTTGTAATACATCCTGTTGGGAGTCTGTTCCACAAAGCAACAGTTCTTTCGAAGAAGCTGAAACTTCCTCCTTACTAATGGAATATGATAGAGGATGATCTACATTTGTGTATATGGTGTGGAAAGTCCCTGTTGTAAAGGTCAGAAGTGGTGGGACTTCAGAATGTGGCTCATCAGAACACATGCCATGGATATAACATGATGGTAGAGCAGCAAGAGGCTTGTGACATTATGTCTATGGGAAAGAGGTTGTAAGGTAGAAAATGATTCATCACCCACAAGGCCGTATAAATAATAGACGACAACCAAGTGAACTTCTTCTGTAAAGCTTTGGTTAAAATATGCAATGTATTCTGCACTGATTAGTGAAAATACTAAAACTGAATGTGTTACCAAATAAAAATGGCACTATTGAATGAAACTGGTTTGATTGTAAAAAAAAAAAAAATAGGCAAAACTTTTTTGATTAATTTTGGGGAAACCGTCAAGATCAGTAGTGTGCCATTGTTGATATAAAAACCTGTTCAAATTTGACATTTGTAAATCATGATAAAGGTAAGTCAGAGATTAACTTGACACTATATTATGGATTTCTATAATAATGAAAAAAAAATAAAAACTTCTAAAATAAAAGAAATATTATGAACTTCT